ATAGATAATTGTTAATACAGTGCAAAAACAAATTCCGGCACTTTTTAAAAACAAAGATAACAAAACCTAAACTGTCTGTTAAAATATAATTTGAGGTATCTCATAATATTTCCTCTATATAAAAAAAAGTAAAAATGTTCTAATACTGATAAAATGGTCGCCATTCAAACCGTAACTGTAACCGTAATTTTCTGAAAAAATCAGCTGGTGGTCCTAAACCTATCAAGTGAAGATTCCTTTTTTATCTTGGCTGGGAGTGCAAATTATTGCAAAGTGAATATATTTTTTATTTTTTATTTTTTTTTTTGTATTTTCATTCATCGGCAGGCTTCTAAAAAATAATTTTCTAAGACAAATAACAATACGTTGGAGCATAAATGCGTATTCTCAGTTTACTTAATAGCGTCGAAGCAACCTCCAATATCCATTAGTTTATCGTCCACTAACGAGCATATCTATAAAACGCAGCGAGGTGCGTTGTTCTGTTTTGTAGTTTTGAAAATAGGTATTAGAAAAGTTAAACAAATTATCATCATTCTACAAGGAACAATAATAATATAACAACTTAAATTAAAATGTTCTTATATGGAATATGTTTTTGAATGAAGTTAGATTGTAACAGGGTTCAACTCAATTTTCATTATTTCGAATCGTACAACGCGCGTAAGCGTCCTCTATTAATAAAAACAAACATGGCTGCCACGAAAGTTTGCCCGGACTCCACACAAAGAAGTTCGCTGATTCTGTTCTAAAAAATTTGGATTTCGGCATTCCCGTGGTGTATCCTTGGAAGGAAAGATGTATAATAATAAGGTTATTACGAGAACACCTCAAAGTATGCACTCAGACAGTACGCCCGTGCATTGACCTCAGCTGCGCTTCGGTCGATACTCCCACTGTACTGTCTTCGTGCATACTTCGTGCATACCGTGATAACCTCATACTACGCACTGGTAATGTTTCGGATATGATAGAATTTACTAGTCGTTAGTTTTACTATCAGTGAAAAGAACACATTAATGAAAAAAACCACTGTGGGGATACAAGGTGACATCAAATATATAATTTAAAATATGACGACGAGTAATTAATGTAAATATATGAGAACCAATATATTGTAGAGTAAAGACGCAATACCACGTTAGAAATATTGCCAACTAAGTTATCTATTTACGAATTATGATGAATGACTTTCAGAAAAAATAGGTTAGTGAAAACATATAAATTACATGATTAAACCTACGCTACAACCCTTACAAACAAAATCCCTCACTGAAACGGAAAAAAAAGTCTACACATGCGCAGACGACTCCATTTGTTTCCCATAATCCCGTTGCCTTTGCTATAAATGATTGCGCAAATCAATTGACGAGTAAGTGCTCTACTGAAGAGTTGGAAGTGCGCACACAATATTTGCAGACACTTCCTCTTAGGTACTCCACAGAAACACACAGTACTATTAGACAAGTCGCAGCAAAAAGGTAACCACTTTGTCGCTTATAACTATGAATACACTCTCTTCATCACATTTGATTTATATGTTTTCTTTCAAGCATCTCTGATACATATTTATCATGTCTTTTTATCTCTAAACTCGACGTTTTGATCATCACTACTTTACGACAGCTCAGCAGAAAAAAAAAGAAGGAAAACGCGCACATATAATAATCAGATTTTCAGTCGATTGCGCTGAATATTTTGAGAAATTTGGAAACGATAGATAAATGAGGCACATCTATATGTCATATCAATAGTGAGATTTGACTACATTACAGTAAGTTGTATTGATTATTAATGACATCCCGTCATCGTCTTCGACATCGACTTATCTGTCATCAACTGATGACTTCGAGATATGTGCACCGTTCATAATGCGTCGATGATCGGTAAAAATACTTTGCGCACATTATGGTCTTTTAAACATCATTAAAAAAAAAAGTAATTGTCGCTCTATGGTATAGCTTACACCGATCTTTCGGATTGACGTTACTGTAGTTTGATTGTGGTGACATAAGTCACCAACGATATTAATACTAGCGACAATGCATTCGAAAAACTTGTGAAAAAATTATTATCTGACTAATGTGATGTTTGCTAAAAAAACTTTTTTTGTGTTATCGCGTGTTGTTTTGCTTGTGCTAATTTCCCGGTGTTATTGTCATTCATAATTTCGAACAATGATGTGTGTGGCAAATACTAACCTGTTTACAAGTCTTATTAGGCTTTTCACGTTAATGATTTTAACCTTCGGTTACTTCTTTCGATGAATACTAAGCAAATCAATATATATACATGCAATATACATTGATATTATGTACTTATTTGGGTGGCTTTATCTATTTGCCTGACTACGGATGAACTTTCTTGTATCGATGAGCTCACTAATTAATTTTGCAAGAATTGACTCAAATAACATTTGCGCTTCGGGGTTTCTGTTGTTGGCGATCTACGTTGACTCTAAGTGGAGACATTAACTGCATAGTCATTATGCGACACGTCCGAAAGGCGAATGTTCACCGTTGTTACTCGGATTACATAGTGAAGGTGTAGTAAATAATGAGACATACGTGTGGATTTCCAACGCTATGCAAATGAAGTTCACCACAATGGAGTTATATCGTACAACAGGGTTTTCGTCACAAAGGTTTGAACATCAAACATGCATGTCTAATATATACGAACAGTTTATAGTTGTCAATCACCAAATAGAAAATGGACGTAATCATTGGCGATAAAATACATGTAGAAATGGTAATCAAGGTTATTAATGCCGCCCACCATATTGACGTGGGAGTTCTTACAAGATGCCGGCAATCAATGAACCTGCTCAGTGTTCAGCCGTGTTCTGTAGGACAACCTGTGCTGACGACTATAGTACTTACACCTAACACAGTAAATGCATTAGAATACTCGATCTCTTGTCGGTGTTGGTTTGTTTAGAAAGAGCATTAACATGAATTAACATTAGGTGATGCATCAATTTGATTAAAAAAATTATCAATAATACGAAGCTTACTGATTTGTAATAAATTTTACATTTTACATTTCCATGGCAATATTTGACCAAATTAACATAATTTGGTTTAATCGGCCTTTAATTGATACTTAATGTACAAATGTACAGAAGGCAAAGCCATTATACTAGAGCTTTTTTTTGAATATATGTGAATATTTATTTTGCGCCTGGTTATCGAGAGGCATTACACATTTACAGACACATAGCAGGCACACAGATTGCTCGGTAGTATGTCGGTCGTGTGACACGTGCTCAGGTTTTTTTTCCCTTATTGTTTCCATCAATTCTGCGCATTTCATTCTTTCCACTAAAACGTATGCGCAACATTCATAATTTATGGTTGCATTTTGTACTGCACCATCAATCGAAGTTGCTTAACTTCTGTGACTTGAAACAATTTTTCGAGCGCGAGGTATTTATTTTATCCAGTAACAACAAATTACCGAAAAACAGTTAATGCAGTTTGGGTTAAAAATGTTTTACCATCAGCAAAGTTTAAATCCTTTGATTTCTTTCACGCGCTGTATTGCTGTTTCATTATGCCAGTTTTATTTTTATTAATAAATCCGGTAATTTCCCTGAACGATATTTAATAATGTGATATTATGACAAATATGAGTGTACATTTTTTACACATTATATGACGCCATGTATTTTTTTCTTACAAATGGGCAATTTTATTTAAACTATACGACATATAGCTTGCACAAGAAGCGTATTTCTTAACATAATCTAAAAAACGAACATAAAACAAATAATTACTATAAGCCACAGCAGGGTACCAATATACTTGACAAACAGAATGCATAACGAACCAATAGAAGGAAATCCGTTACACAAAACCGTATTATCAATAATATGTTCCGAAAAGGGTTAGACACAGCCTTCTTCACATGTGGTACCCAACACAAGCTATCGCAATTAAGCCAGTGCTCGTAGTCTTCTTTCTATAATATCTCTTTTTTATTAATAATGATTTTCAGATGATATATGAAACTCTAAATTGACTGCGAAGCAACATGAAAATTGATATGGTTTTCAAATTAAGCCGTCTGCATGAAAGGTCACAACTACATTTGAACTGGGAGCAATATGTTGTTATTGCAATCACACAACATACGACAAACACGATACGTTACTATAGATATATGCAATCTCTGTTGGATTTTTATCTATATTTCAACAATAAAGACGACAAGTCCCTCATCAAATCATCGAATGTACAGACAATGTGTTTCAACGCAAAGTTTTTATTTTTTATATTTGTAATTATGTGTTCTACTGGATTGCTATGTACATGCATTCTGGGATTTGATAAATTACGTAATATGGTAAAATAAGCTAGTAACAGTAATGTTGGTAGTAACTATTGATGTGCCTATAAACGAAAGAGACCACATTCACTACATTATCATCTGCCTTAAACTCTTTAGACTAGAGCATAAAACTTTGTGACTTTTGTGCAGTTAATAATCACTAGATGATTATGTACGATTGATTAGACAGAGGTTATGACATTTCTCGCGGCACGCGTTCTTTAAAAAGGCTGATTTTACATGTAAACTTGAAGTAAATCGTCTATAAAAATGTTTTATCTCACATATACAGAGAGTTTTGAGATTTTATGAATAATTGACAGGATATAAACTGGCATGGTGATTGTTTAATCGGAAATGTTGACCTCAATTAGGCATGAAGGAAATCACTTAGACTGGGGCAGCGATCTGTACAATGTATCTCCATGGATGAGTGTACCAGCTGCCAACTTCCACTTGTCAAAAACGAATAATATTTTTTACATAAGTGAACTAAATACTCGATATATATGTAAATTATTTCGATTAGAATGTATTTATGTAAAATTGTGATTCATTATATATGACATAACCATTTTTATGTAAATTTGAGTTGTATAAAAAGAAGTACCAATGTATTTAGGTAGATTTATCTACATTTAACTTTTTTTCTATTTTTATTTTTTCAGATGAACTCAAAGGTGCATTTACTTTCGTTAACAGTGTTGCTGCTGGTCGTTCTTGTGGATTTCAGTCAATGCAACTTGTATGGGGTAGATGACGAAACGAATGACGACAGATACGTTTACTATCAAAGGTCAGCACGGCAGACACAAATGAAAGGAGGGTGTTACGTAATTGAAGAAGAGTGCGGGAAATGTTGTCAAAAATGCTACACCTGTTGTCTTTTCAAGTGCCTTCGCCATCGACTTAAAAAGAGGAGTGACGACTCGGACAATCTTGTCCCCATCGATGACGAGTCTTCCGAGCGTAAAAGATGGGATGCCACAGCTTGAAGAATTTCGCGTGATAACATTTCAGTAAAAGAAACTCTTTCAGAAAAACATATCACATAAAGTTTATTTGTTCTTTTGTTTGTTGTTTTATTTTACGAAAGGGGTCATAAATAAACATCACTGTTTTACGTACTAGAACATTTTCTTTCTTCGAGGCAATGGCTGGACCATTAATGTTCTTTCAGCCGACTCATATAATCCTTCTGGCAATTGCGTTTGTGTGTAATTGTAGGGCAAACATGCGAAATTATTTAAGTAAATGTATCAAGATTACTAGACCCAGATCCCAAAGCTACTTCATAGATTACATTTCTTTTTGACATGGGTTCTATATATTAATTGTTTTCCTACAGAATTTGAGTTGTATACAAGGTGATTTCTAAGTGCTCAAGCTGTAAAACGTTATTCTCGCCGTGGTTCAAAAATAAGTATACATCAGAACACCTGACAAACCACAGAGAAATTTCTAAACAATCTGGCAATTCAAATTATGCCTCTCCAGATCTACTGACATTAGTTTTCGGATTCGTGTCTTTTAATATCTATGTATAGGGCCCGTAATGGCCGTGATTAGTGACGCTATATTAGCATTAGATCGGTATACGAGTCTAAGATATTAACATAATACAATGCACTTTTCCATTTTAAGTACATGGATAGAGGGAAAAAAGGCTTCTGGCGATGAACAAACTTTCAGACATACACTTCATTTTTATTTTGTTTTTACATCTTCGAAAACGATAAATAGATATATGATATATATTTGGTTTTACCAAATGGTTTTATAAGTATGTGGACCCAAACGAGTGTCTGCTTTCTTTCGTTTTTATATTCATTCTTATATTCGTTGTAATTATAGTTATTTTCATTATTATATTACATAATGTGTTCACATATAATTTGTCTACGGACGTGAGTCGGTGGGCAGGGCAGGGATGTAATTATATTGAAATAACGACATCACTAATATACAATTTAAGATCATTTCGCAAATCGCATTGGGCAATTATATATATATATATATAAGGGTCTCTGCTATCACAAATTTCGTTGGCCGGAAATCTGGTTGTATATTTGTCGATTATGAGACTTAATTAAAACAACTGTAGAGAATGTGAAGCATTCGTCAAAAAAAGTTGTATTTGCTATAGACTATTTGGCCGCACACTCCGGTATTTATTGAGCCTTCATGATATATATTAGTTGTGTGTATTTTCAAGTGTTTTAAAATAATAAAATAGTGTTATTTATCTGATTATGTGATTGCGCCAAATTTCGGAAAACCCTCTCTTAATTGTATAATTATATTTTCATTTTTAAAATAAGCAACGTTCTACATCCAGTGGCGTATATAGCCGTTTCACATCCAAGCCGATAGTTAACATGAATGTTGTTGGCTATTGTGTAAATTCAGAGAATAATCTCTTTGGAAACCATGTAACCAACGTCTACATAGTGAATAATATTCTTAATCCCAGGTGATTTATGTTAAACTAGTTCTCTGAAACTCACATTATGTCGACATTATAACTTTATTTTTTCATAAAAAATGTCACTGTACACGTATTCGTATTTTGTATGTAATATTGAATATTCATGATGTACCACATTGGCCAATCAGGCTCATTCAGATTATATGTTATAATATCACTTGCAAATAAAGCACTGGCACATTTATGAGCAATCTGTTGTCATTGCTATACCATCATCTCTTATGAGTACAAAATCATAATTGTGGAGTGCGAGAAATCTGAAACATTTTACCCTGGTAGCACGCATAACTCCCGCATTAATGAAGTATTGTTGGTAAAATTAAACACTCACCGACTAACCAATTACCAAGATCCAGCTAACCAACCAACCTATCATAATAATACTTGCGATGCTTTGCTGTAATAGATGGGATACATATTGAGACATCATGTTGCCGTTTATCCGGTGTGTGAAGACATTAATTGATCTTATAATCGTTGGTAAACTGCATAGAATTCAGAAAGCGTGTGTGGTGGAACCATAGGCATAGTAGAATATGAAAGTAAGAAATTATTGGGTATAGTACAGTACAACTAAGGACATACTACAAAGACGCTATGGACGGATGTCAGTTTACACGGTAGCTTTGAAGAAAAAAATCTAAATGGACGAGAAGCATGCGATCGAAACAATTAAAAACAGCCAGAAATTCACCTTCAAAATACTAAAATTATAATATCAACGCAACATTTATAGCTAAAAAAAGGACGTTGCCATACGCTATACGTCACTCTTTTCTTAGTCGGTCCCACAATATGTTAAATGACCAGTGTCATTGTCTATTTCCAGTTTGCCCATCCCACTGTCACCACTTGGCACCATATGGCAATTAGCGTATGAAGAGGGGGCAACGATAGTGAAAACACTTTTTCAAATATCCACATTTTTAATATCTCAGGAAAATTGTGGAAGAGGTAACCAGAGTCTAAGATTTTGCCCAGTGTTTCACAAACTGGCAGTCGTTTTGATAATATAACATTATGAAAAAGGAAAACTGGAATTCTTGGTTTAATGAAAATAAATATAAGTTATAATATTGTACCCCCCCCCTTCCCAAGCTGGCAATTACAGTGGAAGTGTCACATGCCACAAGTCATGCCCAGATTCATTCGGATTGAGATGGGTGTTGGTTGACAGCAACACTGGACGATGTCTCCCGTTCAAGAGAAGAAGATACTTGCATTACGTCGTGATAGATCTGGAAAGCCCCACAACAGTTCCATTTACCTGATTGCATCCGCTTTATACGCGATGCAATTTACAATCCCACTCGGCTTCATAGTATGCATGATTGTCTTACACGGGATCATAGGCTCACGTGACAAATCCATTAGTTGTACAGGAAGTGAATAGGCAGCTACGGAATACGTGTAGTATTACCTGTACGGGATATGTTAGTTACGTATGGTACACTGAAATGTCAATCCTAATAGTTCTTACACGACGAATCAATGTCAATGCAACCAACACAATTGGGCAGAGGGAAATCCATTTAATGCTGCGACTACGACAAGGGAGCGATCAAGTTCAAACCCACAATACTATTAGTATTACCAATATCTTGCATTAACAAGTATCACGCCGTTGTAAGTCATTAACTAGCCTGACAAAGGTCCGAAGGTGTTCGGTCGGTGAGGGCGCCACTCAAGCGTACATGTCAGGCTATTCATTGACATGCAATATCTGGTTTATATGTCAATTTGCTCCATATCTAATCAGAGAAGGGTCATGGGTATATTACTGGGTACATTTAAAAAAACAGACGAGAGATAGGTGACAGGGCTGCCGACCAAGTGGTCTCTTGTTAAATACATATACATTGCTTCTTTCTGTTGTATGCTGGTTTGTATACAACAGACCTTTAACACCGAGTTTAGATAGACTATATCTATTAAAAGATGGTCACTGTGTTAACATGCACAAACAACTTTCAACTGACAGCAGAGCTTATTAGATATTGACATATAATATATTAATTGTAACCAATGTCAGATCCATACAGAGTGCAGATATGAATGTACAGAATAATTGGAACGATGTCCACTATGCAGGTAAACAACAAGTTAGATTAGCGTGGCAAAATTCAATTACCTCGATTTATCGGAAAATAATTAATTTTAAATAATTAAAAGGCCGACTAATTACAGTCTTAGGGAAAGCATAAGACAAGTTCATTGCTCACAAAAATGATAGGTTACCACGTGCACTCCACATAGTAACTGACAAACAAGTAACAGGGAAAGAGAGAGCATAATGCACCATGGGAAGAAGCAATCCAACATTGCATATTCGACTTTTGTACTCGAATTGGAATCGAGTTAAAATTTACAATCATCAATTTTGTTTTTACCTTAGATAATAACGCAAAAACTATAATATCTTTTTCATTGCTGAAATCAAAAACTGTATATAATACTATTACTATATGGATTAGAAAATGTGCGGCCTTTGAAGGGAATTAAACATTCCTTAATTTGTACCAACGTAATTCAACCATTGAAATAGTGTGTTAAGGTGTTCCTAGTGTCAGGAATTGATTGAAAGTCAGACATTTACACGTTTCAAGTGATGAATTGATATAGGCATGTTAATAATATACAACACTAAAACATACTGCCTTGCCCTATGTTGGAATACATTGGAACATTTTATTTGACTAATCTTAATGAAACTTAGTCTAATGTTTCAATAATGGGTGTAAATAGATTTATGTGTATTTTTTTAATTAGTTGATATTGCCAAGTATTTGGGCAATCCGTCTCTATACTTCACATGCCACGCTATTCAAGTAATATAAATTCTTTGAATATTACAATTTACATGTTCTCCAGTTATCGGATAACCATCAGTAGAACAGTGAAAATGTGTATATTGATTTTTTCGTCAAATAGTTTGCAAACGTATATAAAAAGTGTTCCTTTGTGAAGTAATTGAAGGACGGTGGTCATTACGCCGCGTCGTTTTATAAACAGCGTGCATTCACTTCGTTTGAGCAAGTTGTTGCAAAGAACAGTCACACAATCAATTGTACAAACAGTACGCATACATTTCAGCAAACTGTTGTTATGATGTGCAATAAGCAAGCTCGAAACATAATTCTAATTAACATCAATTAATTAAATTGCACAAATTGATTTCTACATATGTATGTGGTTAGTTTCAACAATCTGTCGGGAATAAGTTCATTGGTGGGAATTGTCTAATTTATATATACAGACAGATTAAACAACTAGAAAACAAGAATTAGCATAAAACTAAAAAAAGGTTCGAATTATTTGTAAACACACACAACCAATCACATTACCAGAATTGTTAAATACATAAGACATCATAATTCCTGATGTAGACCATTTTGTTCTGTGGATGTGTACAATATAATTAACACAACGTGAGATTTCTTTCTCTTGTAATCTTAGTCGCATTCTGTTTTATATTTTTATTGAGGATCTGCTTAATTGTTTCTCTGTCACAAGAGTTGACTCTTTCACACTGAACGGGTCATCTGTTTACGCTATGTTGTTGACATAGTTATATCTTGATAATTGATTGCATTATACATTAAAATGACATTCGTGAATGGGTATGGAATACCATGACCA